TGCCTCTGTCTTCATATGGTCTTCTCCTTTGTCTCTGTATTCTCCACTCTTCTTTTAAGGACACCAGTCATTGGATTAAAATCCACATTAAGGTCCACAATGATTTTATATTGAGATCCTTAATTAATTACATTTGCAAAGACCTTGTTTTTAAATAAGGTTAAATTCTGAAGTTTGGGTGAAAATGAATCTTTGTAAGTGCGATTCAACTTACTATAGGGGGAAAGGAGAGGGATGAGTTTCAAAATTAAAAACATGTAGATAGAAACATATTCATTTATTAATTCACTTCTACTGGCCAAAGCAAGAAAATGTTCTCAGTGAAAATAACAAACCTCTTTTAACTTTTCTGCAATTTTTGTTCTCCCAGCTATTTTATTTTTTTCTCTCCAAACTTAATAATTTATTACTTGGTAGATGGCAGGATATTTAAATTCTGATAATTAAACACACACACACACACACACACACACACACACACACACACACACACTAGTAGAGAGGACATTTTTGTTTTTCAGTTTCCACTCATGGCCATTGTATACTTTAGCACTGTATACAGTAGGCTGTATTTATAGTTCACTAAGTTACCCAGTGGAGTTATAATGCCTCTGAAAGATCATCATTCTAACAGCTGTCTTGCTGGTCCTCCAGGAACCTTGTTTGAGGTCATTCTTGACATCCGCTTTCCCCTCACTACCCAAATCCAGTTAAGTCTACTGATTCTACCTTTTAAAGATCTCTCCAATCAATCCACTTCTCTCCATCTTCACTTGCCACAACCCTAGCCTAAACCACCATCTTTGCCTGTTTGAACAACCTCAAGAGATTCCAAACTGATCTCCCTAGGTAAATATTTCACAAAGAAGTAGAAGAAACTTTCTAAATTCAAGTCTGATAATTTTATTCATCTGCTTTAATTATCATCCCATTCCCTTATTTAAATTTCTTTTTTTTTTTTTTTAGTGTTTATTTATTTTTGAGACAGAGAGAGACAGAGCCTGAGTGGGGGAGGGGCAGAAAGAGAGGGAGATATAGAATCTGAAGCAGACTCCAGGCTCTAAGCTTGTCAGCACAGAGCCTGATGTGGGGCTTGAACTCAAGAACCCGCGAAATCATGACCTGAGCCGAAGTTGGACGCTTAAGCGACTGAGCCACCCAGGTGCCCCTCATTCCCTTATTTTAGAGGCCAAACTCCAACAAGACTCTTATGGCACACTGCCTTCTGGACCCCACAAAACTCTGTGGCTTAATTTCTCATCACATTATACTAAACTGTTTGTTCCTTGACAATGTTAAGCTCTCTAAACTACCTCAGGGCTTTTACACATGCTATTCCCTTTGTTTGTATGTTCCTTAAGAATTTAAAAGTTCAGGCTCTGAAGTTGAGCAGATCTACATTTGAGATCCTACTCTGTCCTTTATGAGCTGGGTGGCTTTTTGCCTTTCTGCATCAACAAAATATGATTGAGAGTAACATCTCAAGATTAATGTAAATTTTAAGTAAGTGGATCCAAAATTTTTTCCAAGTCATATAGCAGTACATAAATCCTAGTTATAATCTTTACAGTTATTCTAATAGAACAATTCAGTTGAAGGCCTTGAATCTCACTGTAAAGTACAACTTGAGAATGATGCTAAATTGATAGACCTAAATCCATATGTAAGTCCTTATGGGAAACATTTTATTTCTCTTAAATTTATTGTATTCTACCTATAAGCCTATAATACAATTGGTCAAGCATGAGTTTATCAGCTTCTTTGTGAATTAAAATTTCAAGTTTCAAATTAAAGTTTTATTGAATATATGGAAAACGAGATGACTCCCTATACATTTTGCAACTGGATGACCAGTTCCTCTTGGTTTACCCAGGGCTTTCCCACTTTGGACACTAATAGTTCTATATGCTGAGGGTCTCCTCTGTCAATCACCACAGAGTATAACTGATGACCTCAGTGTGCCTTCCACTTGCAAGAAGAGTTTTTTTCTGTGCCTCATCTAAGGCTCCCATTTCTTCCTGATTATATATCCAAGGATTCCCTAACGTTTATGGAAATTGTGGAGTCAGGAGAAGGGGAATATTGCCTAGCTTCATCTCTCTCAAAGGAGAGCAGTGATGCTAGTGACTTAGGAACCTGGCCTTGGAGAGTTGGAGTAAATGATACAAGGTGAGAGCAAACCCCAGCTTCTGTAGCAACCACAGGGGTCAAGATGGTATCCAACTCCATGGATGCAAATATTCGGGATGAGGAATAGGAAGTACTTTCATGCCCTAGTGATATGTGGGGTCATCCCGGTAGATTTCCTCCAGCTGAGCAAGCGAGGCCTGTGAGGTATAACTCTTTTGAGCCCTGGCCACCCCACAGATGTAAAGCAGTACAAATTAAGTTTATATTGTACTTGTCCTGCTGGGCACTGCTATGCTGCACACTAACCTTGGGATGTCTTCTGAATGCTAGGTGCTGGGCATCTCACCAGGGGGAACATAGGCTTAAGTAAGGGGAAGTACTTCGCATGCCACAAAGTCTCCATCCTTAAAATCCGGCCCAGAACAAGACAGAGGCAAGGCCCACTATTCCAATGACCACTGCTAGAGCCAGGGCAGAGCCGGCCATGGAGGTTCATAGGGGGAAGGCAGCCCTTCCACAAGTGTCATGGGTTTTCATGCTCTGCCTGGTCAAAGACCAAAAGATTTATAGCTCTGGAGCTCAGCTTTCTGAGTTCCCACATACAGCCATCTCCTGGGCAGTTACTATCATCTCATAGAACCAGAGTCACGGTCTTTCTAACTCCTCTTTTCCCCATGTCTTTCTTCTCCTGGGTGGCATCTCCCCTTGGAAAAGTGAGGTGTCTTCCCTTACATTTGCCCTTTTGAGGGAAGCCACCCAGTGATTGGCTTGTAATTTTTCTGTCTCCATTTATATTATGATTTATTGTTAATTTATTTCCTGAAGAAAAGAAAGCAAGCCTTCACAGTTTAATATCTGGCTGTGCACCCCTTTTGCTAGGGCTCATGTTGTATCTTAAGTAAATTATTGATAGAAAAACTGGGAGCATGGCTACAAGGAAAACATCAAGATGAGATCCCAGGCTTTTCTAACAGAGTGTCCATTCTGTTGTCATGATATTTTTGTAGTAAAGACATAGGATTCTTCTGCTCCTTCTGGTCATATGCAAGTTGGGTTGGGGTTCAAGTACTGATTTCCCTTATATTGAAATACCCTAAGACTGAGTAGTGTCCTGGCAGGGCTGTGGGGTGGTTGGCTTAAACAGTACTATGCCATTGTCGTAGTTTTTTTGCATTTTGTCGGATATCAGCAGCAATTAATCTGATGCTATCTGTGGCTGTTGATTGCTTGTTTGTCTTAGTTCACAGCTTGAGCCATCCCTTTGTTTATTTTGGTTCTTTTTACAAGGCCCTCTTTGTGGTCTTAGGCACTGTAAGTAGATGGAGTGGAACCAGGAGTTAATGTGTAAAGTTTTTCATCTTCAGAGAGTTTCATTTCAAGCTAGCTTTGGGTCACATGTGCACCAAGTTCAGTTTTTGTTTGGATAGAATGCTTCAGCTTGGAGAGAAAGAACAGGAAGTAGTACATTCCAACCCCCAGGCAGCAGCTTCTGCTTGTCAAGACTTTCTTGACAATAAGGTCACAGACATTTAGTAAGGGCGGCTCTGGGAAGTAATTTACAAATTGTGTTAAGAGCAACAAAAAAGGTTTATTATTAAACTAGGAACTATATGAGCAGACTAGCAGAAACCAGTTGTAAAATGAGTTTACCTCCAGTCCAAGTATCAGGAGACTGTGCCAGTTAGAGACACTTCAGGTTGAAGGGAAACCAAGGCCAGAATGGGAATCATCCTCTCTGCAAACCAACTCCTTGAACAAGAACATGGAGGAGAAATAACAACTGCTGCCCAGTTTGGCAACCAGAAAACAGAAAGGAAGAGTTGCTTTTAATTACACAGTAAAACACATTCACATTTCAGCCATGAAGCAGCCATGGAGGGTAAGAACAGCTTGTCAACACCAGGTTGGTGCTTTTGGAATAGGAACCAAAGAAAGAGGCCAAAAAGCATGGCTGCAGCTCAGCTGTTATAGATATATCCTGATAAGTGTATACATTCAAGTTAGAGAAAAATAACTTATCACCTTCTGGTCTTTCCTCAAGTCTGGGATTAACAATTTCATGGAATTAAGAAACTATTGCCTGTTTCTTTCCTTCCATCTCTGAAGAGCTCCCAGCATACAGAATGTATCATTGCTCTACTGGAGAGGGGACCCTGTATGGGCCTAGCTGAACCATGCATTGCCATTCTCATGAGCCTTGACCCCTTTCCTGAAATCAGAAGAGGCAGTGCCAGCGCTGGGGAGGAGATGCAAATACCATCTAGTGTCATGATGATGAGTTTGTGGTTAATTTAGCATGGCCCAGTTTCTCAATTAGGCCAGAGGATAGCCAGACTGTCAACATCTTCAAAGAACAAAGATGGTGGATAATGTACTCTCTCGTTGTAAGCATACTTCATCATCCTAAAACTCCACAAAGAATCTGCATGTACCTGAATCATACATTCTAACCAGGATAAGAAATCATTCACAGAGTAAAAATGGAAACTGTCAAGTTCAAGAAAGCACAGCTGCCTGGGAAGTTAGTGAAGTCTTATTGATGTTTTTTTTGTTTTGTTTTTTTTGTTGTTGTTGTTGTTTTTTTTTTTTTAGACAAGAAGGATAGTCTGTCAAATGAGATCATTTATAGTCTCAAAGTTACCAGGTCACCCTTTAGTTATGCTCAAAAGATGGTAGCCTATTCTTAAAGGCACATAATCTCCAACTAGCCTCCTAGCATGTTGCTTTGTTGTTAGTAATGCCATTTGTGTTTGAGCTAGGAGGAAATCCAATGTCAAATGAAAGGGATTTCTCCTTTTCATGAATTAGCCTTTCTTTTGCCATGCCATCAAAAAAGTGAGGACACTGCTAATTTCCAAAATCTTTTCCAGGCTGGCAATGAATGATTCAAGTAAATCACTGGATGCCTTTATCTCTGGGTGACTCATGCTATTGAGAGCCAGCTTTATGGGTTTGAAACCCAGCTAAGTTCTCAGTGCCTCCTTTGTCTTTTTATATAGTACAACTAGGTTTAAGTGAACTCAAAAGTTGTTCTTGAATTATACCACTTGTTATCAGATGTATCCCATAAAATTTTATCTGCTTATTTGATTGAATCTAAGTATTATACCAATATGATATTCTCTTTGCAATCTGAAATATATCTTGACACAATTCTGGAAAGTTATGACTCTATGGTATGGCCTCATAATGAAGAATGTCTGTTTTATTTTTTATGTGTTCACAAAAAGAGAATTTGAATAAATGAATTATTTTTGTTACCTATGTATTTCTTCTCCCAGTAGTTGACAGGTGGAATATTGGTTTTGTTTCTAAGTGGCAAAAGACATAAGCTAATTTCTCATCTCTAACTAATGTTTTTAAAGATGATAATGTGCAGGAAAGTATAATTAATAACAGTTTAATATTTTAGAAGATAATCTTCTATATGTAGATGAACTTGAAAAAGTGGCAAAGATGGTATTTAGTCAGGTCTTTTTATTAAAGTAAAATGACTAAAATCCCAAACATTTTCTCAAACAAGGTAAAATCATCTCCGCCCTTAAAAAGAAAAAAAAATTCAATTTCATATTAAGAATGTGTTCTCCCCTATTATGATGGTTAAACAATTTGGAACCTTCAGGTTGGAGTTCCCAGTTAACGATTTTTGTCTTCTAATTCAAGACTTGCTTCCTCTGAGTGAGTTTCTGAAGAAGTAAGCATCTTGCAGATTTGAAATCAAACAGAATTTTCAAATGATCTTAAAGATCAGTGTCATCTTTTCTTTAAGTACCATTCCTCATGTGTTTGATAAAATCATGTTTCATGAGTAAACAAGCAATATGAAGTTAGTACTCCTCCAATCCTTTCATTTCATAGATCAATATCAAGTTCAACTGAAGAGCCATAAAGATAAGCACTATCAACTTGGTAAGCTGTCGTCACAAACATAGGGACTAACTTACCCAAACAGGTTTTATGATCCATGAAAGCAAAAGGTACTTCTTATTCTTCCTTGTGAATAAAAATACTTTTGTTATTATCTTAAATATCAAATAATAACATTTAATTATTGCTGACATTTGTCAAATTTTTGCATTTGAGACTCTGATGGCAATAAATGTATCATTCATTTCGAAAATTTGAAATAACACATCTAACACTTTGAATGTATAGCTTATTTAAGCTAAAAACGTCCAAGGTTCCCATTAAGAGTCAAATTAAACAAGTGTTATTTTAGCAAAAAGAACAAAGGAATTTTAGAGTACTTAAGCTTAGACAAAAACAGACTTACATTTCATCTAAGTTCCAGTACTTACCAAGTGCATAACCTTAAGAAAGTTATTTATGCCCTCTGAACCTTGGTTTCCACATATTAAAAATGGAATAATGAACCTTAGTTCAGAATGTTATTTTGTAGTTTAAGTAAAAGAACATTTATAAAATAATTACCACATACTTAACATAGAGTTGGCATTCAAGTTGCTAGTAGAACTTTCTTTTTATAGAATAACAATATTGTTATTAATGAGAATTCACCTGGTTGATGTTCTCAAACTAAGTATCTTTCTAAAAATAGAAATAAATTGACTCTGGTAATACAGTAATTCAGATAGGAGGGCTTATGAAAAGTCAGCAAGTTTGGCATCACACCATTCAAAGATCTCCAGAAACCAGAAGATGGTGCTTGTGAGATCTAGGTCATTTTTGTGTGCTTCCATTACCTCTTAGGCTGTCAGACAAGGAATTCACTTAAACTTCGCTGCTTTTTACCTCTTAGGCTGTGAGACAAGGAATTCACTTAAACTGCCATGCTTTTCTTATGCTCTAGCCTCTTTGCATAACCTGGATTTTAGTTACCTATGTCAACCATGTAGTTTTGGGGGTAGAATAAGATGAAACACATGCAAAAATAAGAAAAAAAATAACGTGAGATGACAGCACTTCAGTCACTGAAGTTCTGGAAAACAGGATGTTCTTTCCACACCACCTCTTCCTCTCATTCACTGGGGATGATGAGTTACAGTACTTTGGTGCTTGGCAGCTTATCATCTCAGAAGAAACTTGGCATGTCCATGAACCAGAGGTGTGTGTTGAGCTAGCTTTCTCTTTTCTTCCTTTTCTTTCTGTATTCCCTTTCTTTCTTTCCTTTCTTTCTCCTTATTTCTTTTCTTCTTTCCTCCTTCCCTCTCCCTTTCTTTCTTTCTTTCTTTCTTTCTTTCTTTCTTTCTTTCTTTCTTTCTT